ACTTGGGGTTCTTAAGTTGAATCTGTATGTAAGTCAGAACTGGCGGTCAGTTTCAGCAGCGGCTGAATCTGGAGCCAGTTCTGACTTACATACAGATTCAACTTAAGAACAAACCTACAGTCCCTATCTTGTACATAACCCGGGGACTGCCTGTATAGCGTTGCAACCATGTCACCATAATTGGAATAATAAATAGAATATATCAAGTTCTCTACCTCCGTCCACATGGTCAGGATTCTCAGGTAGCCTCAGGGTTGCCATCCTTGTAAGTCTGTCCTTTGCATTCGAGATAGCAGTTTGGTTTTTTGTGTGTTTGTTTGCTCTTTCTTAATGCCCAAGCAAAATATAAATGAACTGCAGAAAAGAGCAAAAGCCTACTACACCTGACACCAAAAAAGAAAAAGCCTAAAGATTAGGAATAAAGAAACTAATAAAAAAGAATAAACTTCTGACATAAAGCAGACACCTGATGAAACTTCTCTCTCACCAGCAGAAGAAAACCATCAACTACTGGGGATTTACAAAGGCCACATACGCTTGGGTCACATGACTTGACTCACCTGAAGGCTAAACATTCTTCACTTTGCTCGTCAGTTCACTTTGTGTTTGAGGACAGAGTACACAAGCAAGAATCTATTACTAACTGTGACTTCAGCAACTAATTTTCCAAAGCTATTGCATATGCTTCATAATCATCTTAGCTTTTTTGTTTCGGGGATCCCCAAGTACTTTAGAAAGGTAAATGGTATATAAACTAGTCAGTCGGGAACCACTTTATTCAACAACAAAATCATGAAAGGCACAACATGTGGCAACTATTTAATATCACACATAGTTGAAATCAAGACTTCAAGAAGCTTGATTAGCACAGGGGGTGAGACCTGTCCTCTTCCCAATCCTGCCTCCCTCGCCCTTATAGCCCCCTCCCCCCCCAAAAAAAGCAGAGGATGGAATGCTGAAGGGAAGGAATTAAACATAGGTGGAGCAGAACGTTTACATATATAAACTATTGCTTGCAGTGGCTATGCCAGTGGTGAGTTGTGATTACAGAGACTTTGGACCCTCTTTCCCCCGATTCCCCTGGCCCAGAACTCCGCAGCAGAGACAAAACACCCCCTCCCCCCCACATAACCCCTAAGCAGTGCTTGCCCTCCCCGAAAAATGTGATTTGCAGAGAAGATTCCCAAGCTAGCCAGAGATTTCACATAGTGCAAGGAGAGGCAGTCAAAGCATTCCTGTCAAAACCACTGACCTGTGCAGAGGGGCTGTTTACTTCACCCTCTTCCCTCAGAGGCCTGGTCTACACTACAGCTGAGTCAGCTTAACTACATCATTCAGGCCTGTGAAAAATGTCAAAGCCTGTGTAATGTAGTTATGCCAACCTAAGGCCCTGTAGCCACCGCTAGGACAACAGAAGAATTCTTCCATTAACTTAGCTACCATCTTTCTGAGAGGTGGATTCATTACAGTCCTTCCATCGCTATACTGTGCTGCGGCAGCATTTCTAGTGTAGGTAAACACCCATCTCTTCACTCAGCTTCATTCCATTCCTGCCTTTCCTACCCACTTCTCCCTGGTGCCTTTCCCTTTTCTTTCCATAACCCATCCCCTCCTAATTAAACCCACTCCACCTCCCAAAAATATGGAACATACATGGTGTGTTCATCCCCCTTTCCTCATCCTCTCTCTGTAGTCCATCTAGACACTACTGTCCCACTGTTTCCTTGTACTACTCCATCTATCTATATCAATCTGTTGTCTTTTGTCTAATACTTGAATTGTAAGCTCTTGGGGCAAAGACCTCCTTTTTGCTCTGTTTGTACAGCACCCTGCAAGGTGGGGTTCCAGTTCAAGATTGGGGATTAATAGGTAGCTGGTTTAAAACAAACAAAAGGATGTTTTTCTTCATACAGCACACAGTCTACCTGTGGAACTCCTTGCCAGAGGATGTTGTGAATACTAGGACTTTAACAGGGTCCCAAAAAGAGCTACATAAATTCATGGATGTTAGGTCAATCCATGTATATTAGCCAGGATAGGTAGGAATGGTGTCCCTAGCCTCTGTTTGTCTGGAGGCAGATGACAGGAGAGGGATCCTGTGATGCTGTATTTTCTAGTGTCTTGTAAGTCTAGTTTTAAATATCCCAAGCAATGGCACATCTAACTTTTACTCAAGGACAATATTCCACAGTCTAACACATCCCATTGTTGCTTGGATTCAGAGTAAGTTCCCCCCCTTTTTTACCTTCATTCTATTACTCCTAGTTATATTGCCAGGTATCACACTAGTTTCCACTCCATTCTCCTGTTTTAATCCTTTAAATATCTGTGCATCATCAGGTCTCTCCCCAATCTTTTAATCATCGCTTAACCAAGTCACATTTCCCCCTTTCAATCTTTCCTGGCCTCCCAATTAGTTTTACTGTTCTTTTCTGTACGCCTACCAATGTATTTATATTTTTCTAGCAGTGTAGCATCCAGAACCAAAAGTGATATTCCACAATATCCAGTTGCAAAGGAGTCTGTGTGATCCCAGGGATAGGATCTGGGAGTCAAGATACCTGGAAGGTATTTCTAGCTTTGCCACCAGCATCACTATAAAGACTTCGGTATTAGGGATGTGAAGGACTAGTCCACTATCCGATAAGCAAAAACGCATCAACTATTCAATTAGTCAATTACCCAATACTTAATATCCTTATTAGGCATATGCCTTAAGCCACTGGTCTCCAACCTTTTTAAGCACAATTTTTTTAATTTAAGTGCAATATAAGAGCTACCTCAGACTAAAATACCCGTACCGCACCTCCTTCATGTCCCTTCTCTGAGACCCCGCCACTGCTCTGTCCTCCCTCCCTTCCCCATCTTCCCTCCCTTTCACCAAGCAGGGGCAGAAGGTTGGGGCACAGGTTCTGGTCTTGAGCTAATGGATTTGGAGTGTGAAAGGGGCTCTGAACTGAGCTTGGGGCAGGGAGTTGGGGTGCAGGTTTTGGGAGGGAGTTAGGATTTGGGGGGCTCAGGGCTGGGGCAGAGGGAGTTCATGACTGGGGCAGGGATTCAGAGCTGGCTCCAGTTGGACACTGCTTACCTCAGATGGTTCCTGGGTGGTGGTGCAATGGGGCTAAGGCAGGCTCACCCCCCAGCAAACTCCCTCCACCCTAAGCCCTGTTGTCTCCCCCCCACCCCAACCTCCGTTCTGTGGAGACAGACTACAGGGTGGGAGGGGGGCACCCTGACATCAGCACCCTCTCCCCTCCCTCTCCTGCTCTGTACAGCAAGCAGGAGACTGGGGGGGGGGGGGGGGGGGTGAAGGAGGCTCCTCGGGGTGGGGGGAGGCAGGTCTAAGGCAAAGGGCAGGAGGTGTACAGCAGTAGGGGGAGAGGCAACTGAAATGCCAGCACTTGATAGCCTCTTGGCCAGACCAGTCAGGATCACCTGTCAGGCTCCAAGATCTACTGGTTGGTGACCACTGCCTTAATCTTTCTCTGATTCAGTTTCTGCTGAGGTGACGGAGCTTTTGCCCTCATTTGTAAAATGCACTGAGATCACTGCCTGAAAAGCATTATGTAAATAACAAGTGTGACTAATTTTCCCATCTGTGACATCATGCTTCTACACATGCGGTTACATCACACTGTTAATGCCTGAATAGTTTATCATCCTCTTTCAGTGTGCCTTCCCCATCCCATCTCCACCACTCTTCTCCTTTCTGGGGAATTATCCCCCTCACCCCCGGAAACAAACGTATCAGCATTTCCAAAGATGACTGATCTTTAGTCACTGGCTCCTATTTTAGCCCATTCTTGGAACCGCAAATTTGTTTCTGGCTTCACTGAGGTTTGATATGTCTGCCCAAGTTTGTATCACGGATGGATGAGCTAGTCTGAAATGCTTGACACCGACACCTCAAGTCAGCAGTACCCCAGGGGGCCTTCACGAACCGCAAATTTGTTTCTGGCTTCACTGAGGTTTGATATGTCTGCCCAAGTTTGTATCACGGATGGATGAGCTAGTCTGAAATGCTTGACACCGACACCTCAAGTCAGCAGTACCCCAGGGGGCCTTCA